GCTAATTGGACACTTACATTTCCAGCAAGTCAGTGCAAGATCTTCTGAAAAGAGTTAACTAATTTCTGTGCGCTTCTTCAAAGTCAATACGTCATTAATTAATAATACTTTCACTTTTCCTGTACTCTCAGCCTGTGTGGTGATTTTTTCAGAAGGTGCAAGAAGAGATGTTTTTGTTAGTCGAGGCAGTTAGTCCTTACATAACCTGAATTATAAGGACTAGACTAGCGTCTGCCCTCAGTTTGTCATCTCTCTCTGAGTCTGCCTGAGAATTAAGATTTTTGATGATTTAATCTTGGGGCCAGATCGTTGGCTGGTGTTAATCAGGATAGCTTCATTGAGTTCAAAGATGACATGATTTTACACCAGCTGTGGATAGTTTCTAAATTCTGTGCCCCCTTTAAGTAATTTAAATCAGGTAAATTGACTGCAGGCCTTAATATGGCTAGCTCCGTTGTCTTGAATGGCTTGGGAGAAGTATCAGAGGTGGAATTTGGAAGTTTAGGGTTGGGCTCCTTGTGGATTGGTGAGCTGAAGAGCAGTGTCTGGTCAGCAGACAGCAGTATGGGGAGCCTGCTAATGGTGGTTGTTCTGCTGCTCTAAACCTCCAGCTGAGGAGGAAGATGGGCCATAAACCCAGGAGGAGATTCTTTGGCCGTTAGGAGGCCAGGTGGTAGAAGTGAATCTCAGAAGTAGGATGTCTGTGGCCCAGGGCAGAATGTTGAGTTGAAGGCAGTGGAAGAGTGTATATTGGGGTCAGCCGGGTGCTAGAGCGGTGGTGGGCAGCCTGCGGCCCATCATGGTAATCCACTGGTGGGCTGCCAGACAGTTTGTTTACATTTGCACAGCTGCCCGCAGCTCCCAGTGGCCGCACTTCACCGTTCCTAGCCAATGGGAGCTGCGGGAAACAGCGCAGGTCGCAGGGACATGCTGGCCGCTGCTTCCCACAGCTCTCATTGGCCAGGAATGGCAAACCGCAGCCACTGGGCACTACGGGCGGCCATGCAAACGTAAACAAACTGTTTGGTGGCCCACCAGCGGATTATCCTGATGAGCCACAAGTTGCCCACCACTGTGTTAGAGCCTTTACAGCTGAAGCTTGTGGCACTTGCCTCTGCTGTAGGTAATCTGAGGCGTTACTAAACTGTGGCAGGACAAGATTTGGTACCATGACACTGCAGAAGGCCCCATGTGTGGGTGACATTGACACTTAGGTTTGCACCTGATGCACCGTCTCCCATGCTACATTTTATTTATTTAGGATTTAAATTATTTAAAAGGAGTAGAAAACTTAGAAAACACAATTTTAATGAATAAGTCCTAGCACTTTCCTCCCATGACCTCCTTAGAGAGATGATAAACGGAAGGCAGAGGCTAGTCCACTTTTTTTATGAGGGGTTCTTAAGGTCTAATGGACCAAAGTAACAAGATGTCTCTCTTCTCTCAGCTTCTTGGAAAATACCTCACATATTGAGAAGAGGGCTAGTGAGGAGGGCTTTAAACTAGGTTCACCGGGGGAAGGAGACCAAAGCCCTGAGGTAGGTGGGGAAGCGGGATACCGGGAGGGAGCACGAGCAGGAGCGTGTGAGAGGGGAGGGCTCCTGCCTCATACTGAGAATGAGGGGCGATCAGCGGGTTATCTCAAGTGCCTATATACAAATGCACAAAACCTGGGAAACAAGCAGGGAGAACTGGAGGTCCTGGCAAAGTCAAGGAATTATGATGTGATTGGAATAACAGAGACAGAGTGGGATAACTAGCATGACTGGAGTACTGTCGTGGATGGGTATAAACTGTTCAGGAAGGACAGGGAGGCCAGAAAAGGTGGGGGAGTTGCATTGTATGTAAGGGAGCAGTATGACTGCTCAGAGCTCAAGTATGAAACTGCAGAAAAACCTGAGAGTCTCTGGATTAAGTTTAGAAGCGTGAGCAACAAGGGTGATGTCGTGGTGGGAGTCTGCTGTAGACCACCGGACCAGGGGGATGAGGTGGACGAGGCTTTCTTCCGGCAACTCGCAGAAGCTACTAGATCGCACGCCCTGGTTCTCATGGGCGACTTCAATCATCCTGATATCTGCTGGGAGAGCAATACAGCGGTGCACAGACAATCCAGGAAGTTTTTGGAAAATGTAGGGGACAATTTCCTGGTGCAAGTGCTGGAGGAACCAACTGGGGTGGAGCTCTTCTTGACCTGCTGCTCACAAACTGGGAAGAATTAGTAGGGGAAGCAAAAGTGGATGGGAACCTGGGAGGCAGTGACCACGAGATGGTCGAGTTCAGGATCCTGACACAAGGAAGAAAGGAAAGCAGCAGAATACGGACCCTGGACTTCAGAAAAGCAGACTTTGACTCCCTCCGGGAACTGATGGGCAGGATCCCCTGGGAGAATAACATGAGGGAGAAAGGAGTCCAGGAGAGCTGGCTGTATTTTAAAGAATCCTTATTGTGGTTACAGGGACAAACCATCCCGATGTGTAGAAAGAATAGTAAATATGGCAGGCGACCAGCTTGGCTTAACAGTGAAATCCTTGCTGATCTTAAACACAAAAAAGAGGCTTACAAGAAGTGGAAGATTGGACAAATGACCAGGGGTGAGTATAAAAATATTGCTCGGGCATGTAGGAGTGAAATCAGGAAGGCTAAATCACACCTGGAGTTGCAGCTAGCGAGAGATGTTAAGAGTAACAAGAAGGGTTTCTTCAGGTATGTTAGCAACAAGAAGAAAGCCGAGGAAAGTGTGGGCCCCTTACTGAATGAGGGTGACAACCTAGTGACAGAGGATGTGGAAAAAGCTAATGTACTCAATGCCTTTTTTGCCTCTCTCTTCACGAACAAGGTCAGCTCCCAGACTACTGCACTGGGCAGCACAGCATGGGGAGGAGGTGGCCAGCCCTCTGTGAAGAAAGAAGTGGTTCGGGACTATTTAGAAAAGCTGGATGTGCACAAGTCCATGGGGCCGGATGCGTTGCATCCGAGAGTGCTAAAGGAATTGGTGATGTGATTGCAGAGCCATTGGCCATTATCTTTGAAAACTCATGGCGATCAGGGGAAGTCCCGGAAGACTGGAAAAAGGCTAATGTAGTGCCAATCTTTAAAAAAGGGAAGAAGGAGGATCCTGGGAACTACAGGCCAGTCAGCCTCACCTCAGTCCCCGGAAAAATCATGGAGCAGGTCCTCAAGGAATCAATTCTGAAGCACTTAGAGGAGAGGAAAGTGATCAGGAACAGTCAGCATGGATTCACCAAGGGCAAGTCATGCCTGACTAATCTAATTGCCTTCTATGATGAGATAACTGGTTCTGTGGATGAAGGGAAAGCAGTGGACGTGTTATTCCTTGACTTTAGCAAAGCTTTTGACATGGTCTCCCACAGTATTCTTGTCAGCAAGTTAAAGAAGTATGGGCTGGATGGATGCACTACAAGGTGGGTAGAAAGTTGGCTAAATTGACGGGCTCAACGGGTAGTGATCAATGGCTCCATGTCTAGTTGGCAGCCGGTATCTAGCGGAGTGCCCCAAGGGTCGGTCCTGGGGCCGGTTTTGTTCAATATCTTCATAAATGATCTGGAGGATGGTGTGGATTGCAGCCTCAGCAAGTTTGCAAATGACACTAAACTGGGAGGAGAGGTAGATACGCTGGAGGGTAGGGATAGGATACAGAGGGACCTAGACAAATTGGAGGATTGGGCCAAAAGAATTCTGATAAGGTTCAAGGGGGACAAGTGCAGAGTCCTGCACTTAGGATGGAAGAATCCAATGCTCCGCTATAGACTAGGGACCGAATGGTGAGGCAGCAGTTCTGCAGAGAAGGACCTAGGGGTGACAGTGGACGAGAAGCTGGATATGAGTCAACAGTGTGCCCTTGTTGTCAAGAAGGCCAACGGCATTTTCGGATGTATAAGTACGGGCATTGCCAGCAGATTGAGGGACGTGATCGTTCCCCTCTATTCGACATTGGTGAGGCCTCATCTGGAGTACTGTGTCCAGTTTTGGGCCCCACACTACAAGGAGGATGTGGAAAAATTGGAGAGAGAGTCCAGCGAAAGGCAACAAAAATGATTAGGGGTCTGGAACATGACTTATGAGGAGAGGCTGAGGGAACTGGGATTGTTTAGTCTACAGAAGAGAAGAGTGAGGGGGGATTTGATAGCTGCTGTCAACTACCTGAAAGGTGGATCCAAAGAGGATGGATCTAGACTATTCTCAGTGATAGCAGATGATAGGACAAGGAGTAATGGTCTCAAGTTGCACTGGGGGAGATTTAGGTTGGATATTAGGAAAAACTTTTTCACTAGGAGGGTGGTGAAACACTGGAATGCGTTACCTAGGGAGGTGGTGGAATCCCCTTCCTTAGAAGTTTTTAAGGTCAGGCTTGACAAAGCCCTGGCTGGGATGATTTAGTTGGGGATTGGTCCTGCTCTGGGCAGGGGGTTGGACTAGATGACCTTCTGGGGTCCCTTCCAACTCTGATATTCTATGATTCTAAGATAGAAAAAGTACAGTGGATCCCTTGGCAAGACTGAGGCCTTATTTTATGTTTTCTGATGGATTGCTTGAGCACTACCTTGCTCCTCAGTGAATAACAGGTTAACTTCAGCTCCGCTTAATCCTTTCTTTATGCAGACTAGCAGTTGACTGCTTTCAAGATGGGAGAGTTCCTTGGGATAGTCAGGTTCCATACCCAAGCATTATTTTCCTCATTATAAACATTAGACCTTGAGCAGATGACTTTGCTGACTGCAATTGGTTATTTCTTTTTCTTCTGATCCACTCACTTGCATACCTTTAACATCTATGTTCTGGGCAAGATTTATTAAGGAATCACAGTAGTAGGACAAATAGTTTTTTAGTAGGACAAATAGTGTTTGTAATATACTTGTAGTTTTTTCTTCTTTTCCTCCTTTACTTCTTTCCCACCGCTTTCTTCCGCGGTGTTCTTCTCCTTCCTCCTCTCCATTCAGTTTGCTCTAAATTTATTTTTTCTTATTTTTTCTCTTTTTTAGGTAAACGGTTGCAAGAATGGATTTCTGTTATCCTTTGCATCATCTTGGTCACAGTTGACTTTCTGCTCCTGTTAATCCATTTTTCAGCAAATCATCTTTATAAAATAATAGCAGGTATAGGTAAGTATTTCAGTTTTTAACCCTCAGCATATTTTAAAATGATCAATATGCACAGTTCAAATCTTCACATTTTGCAGCAATGTGGCAGATATTGTTGTAAATGTGTTTTTAATTAACTGTAAGAATGGCAAAATCAGAAATGTAGAGAAATTCAGAACTAAGGTTGGTACTGCAACTACCCCGATACACAGTAATATAGCAGTATTGTTCTAGGCCAGAGGATTTGAATAAACTCCTATGTTTTGTATTTTTGAAATAGCAGGATATAGAATTATAGGCCCCAATCAGCAAAGCAGTTATGTGCATAACTTATGTATGTGTATATATAAAAACACTGAGAAAGGATCAGTGGATTCTATTATCACATTTACTATTCAGATGAATTGGTGTCTATATAGTGTCTTTTCCACCATAATTAGCATTCACTAGATGACATTACCACAGGCTTATAGACTTTCTGGACATTGTTTTAATGCCACATCTAAGTTGCTCTTTGTAGCATATGGTTTGTGAAATTTTCATCTGTGGCACTTGAATATATTGAAATAATGAGAAAAGGAGGGAAGAAATCCTGAACTTTAGTGCCATCCTTGAAAGAGTGTTTTGCTGATATTTTCATGAAGGGGAGAAACTTGTTAGAAACTTGTGTAGTAGAGGATGCCTTTGTGTGGAACAGATGTGCAAGAGTATTTTGGGATGAACATGTTAAAGACAGAATTACATTATTGCACCCTCTTTTAATCACTTTTTCCCCCCCTGCCATCTCAGGTGTTGCAGATCTGTGACATGCTGGCAGTGTACTCAATTGCATTGTGGGGAAACTGTCAGGTTAAAAGGTAGACTTGTATATTTAATAACATGTGTGAGCTATGTTATTTTCCTCTCTTCCAGTTACATAGTTTCTTTGTGGTTTTATAAATATTTCACCAGCATTTCTAAAGTCTATTTCATCCCTCTTTTAAACATATTAAATATAAATGTAGCAACAAATTTATGGCAAGTCTGTCTGTAGCAACACAAACTCAAAACTTCCACTGAAAAATAAAAAGAATTGGTTTATCACAATTTATTTGTATCTATATTAATTGTTTTGCCATCTGTACTGTCTGCACTGTCATACTCCAAATACTAAGGTACTTAGAGTGCCTAATTCCACTGGTCTAGAAGAACCAATCAACCTCAAAGTCTATTTTAATGCCTCAACTGTAAATGAGAACCTGACGTACAAACATAGGCATTCTCAGGGTGCTACACAGATTTCATTTCAGGTGTCCATTTAGAGCAGTAGCTATTCCTCTCTAGTGAAGCCGACTGGCTTTGCAATTGCAATGGTAGGTTGTTCAGCCAATTGAGCTGTGGAAAAACAGTTTAGGACCAGATTCAGTTGAAATCCCTATTCACTTTCTACCCAACAAAAGGCCTCTCAAGTGCTGGGTATATGAGGCAGGGAGAGGAGCACTTTATGGATAATGTAGTGCTCCTGTACTGCAAGTATGAATTTAATTCACAAGGGGAACTTGTACAAAAGTTTGTTCCAGCCACGCTCCATGAGTGTTATACACGGGAGAGCATAGTCTTGAGAAGTACGGATATGAGAGTACTTTCTCATGAATACCTTATGGACATATTATCACAACCACAATACAAATATTTTAACAGCTCAGATGCGTTCTCTTCACCTAATTCTCAAACAACTATAAAGGCATTCTTGATTTTATTTCCAGTTTTCATTTCCTGAAATATTCTGAAGGCACTTGTTAGCTTTCAGAGACTAAAGCCCTGATCCTGCAATCTGATCCATGCAGCAGAGCCCCAGTGACTTTGGTGGGTCTCCCTGCAGTCATAGGGGCCCAGCTCCATGGATTCAAGTGCAGGGGGCCTAACAGTATAAATATAAATTAAAAATGAATTTTTCCTATTCAATCTGTAATTGACACTGATTACTCACTCGGTCTCATGTAATGCAGTTGAGTGCAGTGGTATTTGGAGTCACATTACATGTCACTGAGGGCAAGTCTACACTACAGCGCTACATCGGCACAGCTGCATTGATGCAGCTGCGTTGCTGTAGCATGTCTGGTGAAGACGCACTATGCCAATGGGAGAACGCTCTGCCATTAGCATAATTACTCCACCTCGGTGAGAAACAGAAGCTATGTCAGTGGGAAAGCGGTGTGGACAGTGTGAAACTTGCGTTTCTCAGGCAGGGAGGGGCTTTTTCAGACCCGTGAGCAACATAAGTTAGATCGACTTAAGCGGTAGTGTAGACCTGCCCTTAGTTATACTGCTCATCACCAGCTTTTCCAGGTTGTTTAAAAGTGTCCTTCCCACCCACTTCCCTTAGAAATTGGCAATACTCCCTAGGAAATAAGCTGTAACTGACTTGTTTTGAAATGATTGAAGCACTAATAAAGGATTTGTACTGGAAAGTCCACCTAGTCTTTAGCTGTAGTGGAACTGATGTGCCATCGTAATTCTACTTGACTTTATAGAACAATTGGTTTAGTGCTACTAGGAGTTTAATATGGCCTCTTGCTTTAGGAAGCTCTTAAAAGGATAACCATGATTTAAAAAAATATAAACTACAAAAGCCTCTGAGGTTGCCTGGAATTTCATTGCCTGTACAGTGATTTTATGTGGTCATACAGGAGTGTTAATACTAAGGCCAATTAGAGACGTAACTCATCTCAGTTATTGTTAAAGCAAGCACTGATCTGACTGTGGAAAGCCATGTGTGGGATGAGTGAGTGTGTGAGTTTGCTTATTTGGGAACCTTTGTACATAATATGTGCAGGTTGTCTTAGCTTTCTAATACTTTGCAGTCCCCTGCCCATGAGGCTTGTGTCTCTAATTCCCTAATAGCATGACTCCTTCCAGTTTTGCCCCTCTGTTGCTTGAAGCAGTATCCTTGCTCATTGTTTTGAACAATCATATTATGCCCCTCCATCTTTTTGTTCTTTACATTGGCTGCCTATAAAGTGGTGGATTAATTTTAAATTGGCCCCTGGGTTTCTAATTCCCTTAATGGTGTAGGCCCTGGCTATATTGAAAACAGCCTTGTTGAAGTTTCCTTTTTATTGATTAGTTGTGCTCTAGAATTCCACTCTGTTGCTTTTTGGGTTGGCCTTTGCTGTGTGCGGAGACTTTGGATGTGGAATTTCCTTTCCCCTGACATCTATCTCAGCTAGTCCTTCCCCGTTTATATATGGCTTAATTTTTTTCCCCAAAGGTATTTTTAGTATGACCACTGTTGGTCTCATATTTGTTTTTCTTTTTTTAGTTAAATCTCTTTCCAATTATCTACATTTATAGTTATAGGAAGGCAGTGGTGTTGTAGGTGAAGCATGGGAATGTCTTAAGATATTTTAAATCAATTGTAATTATTGCTAATAGGTGAATAGCTTGGAGGCTCATCCCAACTATCTACATTTCTAAAGCCATCTAAAATAAGTGGGAAACCCTTATATAAATGCTTTCTTGTACGTCTTACTTCCAAGTTTACTGTTTTGTGAAGTATTTTGAGCCCTCCTCTTAAACTCAAGAAGTGGAACTCACTAATGCAATATTTCTGGGTCAGTTCATTCACCCAGCGTGGGGGGGTCCATCAGGGTATAGGGAGGCCACAGCCTGAAAAAGCTAGGGATCCATGGATATCTAGGGTCACAATCCCCATATCACCTTTCTGGCTCATTCTGGTTGTAATTCCCCTTTTTACTGTACCCCATCTGTTGATAACACACTGTGAACTCTTGGAGGGGTGTGGGAGTGTCACAGAGAGGTATATCCTTCTGTAGTTTCTGGAGAGGAATATACCTCTCCTGTGTGTCTCTCTCTTTTCCCCAACCCCCTACCTCTCCAATCCTAGCCATGTCCTGTTTTTGTCCTGCGTGGCAGAGTGTCCACATGAATCTTCTTCAGCTCACTTCATCGGATGCATGCTGCGGAAGTGAAGCAGTATGCATCCGATCACTTCCGCAGTATGTGTCCGATGAAGTGAGCTGTAGCTCACAAAAGCTTATGCTCAAATAAATTGGTTAGTGTCTAAGGTGCCACAAGTACTCCTTTTCTTTTTACCCATGTATGTGTTTCATTATTTTTCCTGCTAAGTGGACATTTTATAAAGTCCACAGCAGAGGGCTTGGCACCTCCAAAAAGGATCCTGGCAAGGTTAGTCCCAATGAGCAAAATATGCAAATTTAAATTTAAAATATTTTCTTAATAGAAGTTGCATAAATTATTCCCAGTGGGCACCTACATGACAATAAATTTAATGTGCTTGGGAATTAATGTGCCCCACTTATATTACTTTGTTCCATTTTTAAAAAAATGCATTATTCATTTAAACTGTACTCTATTCTACTTAGCTCTTTAAAAGGACACTCAGCCATTTATTTTTTAGCCCTAAATTTAACTTATGGAAATGTAAATTTTATTTAGTATGTATGGAATACCTGTATAAATGAAATATAACACCTTTACTGAATTCAATGTAATTTAAAAATCCAGAAATAAAACAAATGTACAAAAAGCGACGCCACTTTGGTTGATTCTTATGATTGTTTGAAACAATAATAAAACAGTGTTTGAAGGTGTTCAGAAACTTTCCTTTTAACTCCTGAAAAATTGTTTGGGTCCCCAGTAACCCAGACAGCATACAGGCAATGTGGATGTTCTAGCATGTGTGTGCCTATTCCTGCTAGCAGCCACAGAGATCTGTTTTGGCTGTCCCCTGCTTGTCTGCGCAGCTGCCTCTTAGTAGCTCCATCTAATTCTGTGCAGGGGCTAGAGGGTAACAGGGTTGCTAGAATTTAATAATGATCCATATAAGAATGATCCATCGAGAAGCACTGTGAGGAGTGTTTGGATTGTGAAATCAGGAGCGGAAGATAGACAGAGGGGAGACACTGAATCAGCAGTTGATAGGGATGGGTTTTTGGCCTTTTAATCCCTTCTGGCAGTGTCTGGTGATTGTCTTTATCAGTTCATCTGGACGACTGGCA